TGGTCATACCATTTCGATTTTCCCAGGCTTGCTTGAACTAACAGTCTTACTTTTTCTCTTTTGGCTAGATCGTATGGATCACTTGTTGTTCTAAACCATGACAAACGCAAAGTCGATTACGCAACGTGCTTCAGCTCTTTCCCAATTCAATCAGTATGCGAAAGGACAGTCCCCCCCCCTTCCCTCCCCCCATTCCTCTCTCCCTCTCTTGATTCAGTACTGGCATCATACTTAAATACTGATTCGCTTTCCATATTACCGATATGAATTACATGTACAAGCATTTTTAACTGGTAATAAAGCCAATTTATCTTCTATTTATTATCTTTTGACCTTATGTCTGTAGCTTTCACCATTGTGTCCGACAGAATTGGGTAAATTGGAAGTCACCATTACCTTAAGTTCCTCTTCAATGATGGGTTAATTGACCTTTGAAAGAGCTCAACTAAAAGACAGTATTATGCGAAATAATTTCGTCTTGCTATAGTGTTAACTCGTGACTAATTCGGATTGCCAATTCGCATAAAAGGGGTGGAAGAGGTTCGAGCATTGACGATCGTCCCAAAACGCCTACTCAGGCTCTGTTTGAGTGGGGTAACCCTTTTGGTTAAAATGGACAATTGGAGAACACACTGAGGTGGTGGTCGAGGGGAAGCCTGAGGACACAACGACATTACGCACTTCAAGTGCCACTGTGAACCTGTTAAGTCTTGAAATTGCGTCAGGGTCAAGGAATTAGGTGCCCAAGGTTAAGAATTTTGAAAACACAGGCAATTGTGCTTCTTCTCTTACATTGTTAACTTTAATTTATTGTGTTTGCAGTTTGAATTGTAAAAAGGAGTTCCTGTTAACAATCTTTTAACATATTAGTCAGTTGTTGAAATTGAGTGGCTGGTCACGTCGACTCAGCCTATTTATACCTTCTTGAAGTAGAAATGCTTACGAATTCAAGTAAAATCTCTTAAAGAATTGCTATGATGAACCCAAAAGTGAGTGTTTAATTTAATTTAAAACTTTGAGTTTTGTCTGGTGGGCGAACACGATGAATTGTGTTTCCAAGCTTCTCTAATCATAGTGCCCCCAACGACTTACAGCCAACCCCAATCTAACATTGTCCTAATTCAGCTTAAAATGAAAATACTACTTAAATTAGTAGTTAAAAAATTAAGTAGCTTTGCAATATATGTACTTGGAAGTTTGAAGTCTATATAATAGAAATAATAAAGTTGCATTTAAAATTGGAATTTTTGTTGATGATTCTTACAAAGCGCAATACACATGTCGGATGCAGTTAAAACATTCATAATTTTGGAGACACATTTAAAACATTGGGTCAAGTTTGTTTACCCTCTGTTCCTCTTGCCTACGGATCCTTTGAAGTAAGTGAGATATAGAAGGAGCACAACAAATCATTTTTTACTGAAATATGACGTGAGTAACTATTTGGGTCAGACGAGAAGGCCAGAAAAATTCTACCTCCTTTACGAATACTGGGCACCTAAACCCCTTCTTAAGCTTCAGTGATCTTAAAAGGCGCATACAATAAGCCCTTTGCACAGTTCTCTAACAAATTGGTCTCATGGAAGTGAAAAGGCAGGAGACGAGAGTGTCTGTGTGTGTGCGCGCGCTTAATGTCAACGATTAGTAGTTATGGCTACAATTAAAGATACTTCGCACAAATATTAATTAGTGAATGGACTGGGGGGGGCCTCATATGCCCTTCTGTGATTGTTCGACACGCGGTCGATCGATGATAGCAGGTATATCAGAATAAGATCATTTGTGCCACTAAAATTCACTTTTCCTACTTTATCTAGGTTAAACAAATCCATCGATTATTAATTAATTACTAAAGATACCCCAAAACCGTAAATAAATAAAAAGCTTACAACTTGCTGTGATGTTCATTACTTCACTTTAACTGCAATGTTCAGCCCCTTATGCTTTAAAAGGGCGTATGTTCAAGACTAAAACATGAAAGCAGTTTTAGTCACCAAAAGGGAGAGATAGAGCTCAAATGAACATAAATAAATCAAAATAGCTATTGAAGTTAGTATTAGTCAGGTTGACTGCGTAGACAGTTTGATGAATCTCTGGTGAAGTAGACTAACTAAAACGCACATTAAAATGTGTTCCAAAGGAAGTTCGGTAAAAATAAAAAAATGATGTGCTACAATGTATTGTGACAAGGTTGGCTAGTTGACAGACATACCCTTTCCCTTAATTAGCAAATGACTCATCGTCATTGATAAGTGAATCACAAACCCTATTAGTGACCAAGCCAGTTGTCAGTCTGACTGGCTATGACCACCATCGGTGTTATAAGTTAGTAAAATCAATTACTAAATTGCAAACGAATACCTTCACTTTCAAATAAAGTCTATTTCCCAGTTGCTCCAACGTTATTAATCAAACTAATTTTCCAATATACCATCCCGGATTTAGTCTCCTTAAGCAAATACAACCCTGTTGATGCTAATGATATCCTGGCTTACATTATACTTCATGCGAAAACACATCTAATTTAATAAATCTAGTCAAAATTCTTGAAGGTTAAATAACAAAATGATTTCAATTAGCCATGCAGGGAAGCGCACCTGCTTACAGTAGCCCAAACTAACTGAGATATTTAAATGAACAGAACTATGAAGAAGTGACAAATCCACCCTCTAGAAGACACCTTATCGAATATTTTAGTTGCACGCTCTAGAATCAACTTTCATCTCTCAAGTCCTGGTCTATTAATTATTGGTTTCCAACGCGCATAACTGAATATGCGAGACCACCTATAGGGAACTCGTCACTACAATTATTGCCCAACCACATAGCCAATCAGTTAGCACATACTTTGAGTCTACATTATTTAATTAATTTTGTTTGAGTAAATATAGCTTTAATTAAGGGCAACTGAGAAGTTACAAAAACAATGAAGCTCCTTTATAAGTCGCGAATAAAGCTGTTTGGATGGACCTACGTTGACCTGTCCAATTTTTCATTATTCTATTTATTAAGAAAGCAAAACTTAATGAATAAAGAATCTCTAAAGTTTAGAGAAAATTATGTGGAGCACTATGAGTTTCTTAGGCAAAAGAAGTGGTCAACGAAACGGGACTTTTGTGAAAATTGTTACTTAACACCATCTTGCAATACTCAATACCGAATTATTTTTTTTATTTTTTGGCGTTTAAATTAGAGTGATTCTAAGTGTGACGCCAGCTTAACTTTGAATTCTGTAGAAGACGTAATTATAGCAAATGTCACCTTTTCAACTTGTCAAGCGTAAAGAGTGGTGCAAGTGAAAGCAACATAAACTGATGTTATTGCCCTATCGGCAATAACAATAAAATTTGCATTATGTCCTGCCACATGTCTGTGTCCAAGAGGTGAGAAATATAATAAAAACACAACAAACAATAGTCTTTCAACATCGGTATAAATAAAAAACGTCCTTTGACTTGGTTACCGATGGATTTCACAAATCAATACTAAAGTTAGATTGCAACCTGAATCGAATTGTATACTGATTGGGAGGTTGTAGTGTTCCCTCAATTACTAAATAATAAGATATTGTCTCAAATCCAATGCTCGATTCTTGTAAGTCAAAATGAAAGCATCTCAAATTAAAATTGGTTATAACTTAAAAGTGGTAACGTTGGGCACTCCACAAGTGAATGCTTTTCATTACACCAATTTCACTTCCTCTTCGAATGAAAATTTTCCCATTCATCTGATGAATCAGTGTTTTCACATTTAAATAAATTCTACTCGAAATGCTTCATAGTGTTATTTTCAAGTTAAATAATTCGATGTAGACCCGTATGTAGATCAGTTCAATCTTATTGTTTCAATTTAAACAACTGAAATTCCCTTCTTCTCTGCTGATATATTAAGCTTAATCTTAGCCGATACCAACAATGATTAATAGAAGACGAAATTTAATCGAAGCGTCACGTAATTTGACTCTTAAAATATATGAATGATCAACGATTGCGCTATTAGTTAATTTCAAATTGGATTATCACTATATAACACAGTTTGAAGGACGCAACAAGTTATGAAGTATTTTAGAACTTATAGAGGTCACAAGAAGGATCTAATTATTGGTTAACTTGATTTCTTACCCTAGCCACATTAAAATAATAAGAGAAGTAAGTTAAATTATTTCGTAAAGAATGCCTAAAATGAATGGGAATATTACAATCTCAGGCGTTTTAGAGAGATGCTATTTTAGTTCCAAAACTACCAACTTTGAATATTAAACTGGTTAGCTGGACTCAGATTTTCCCACAAGATTTAAATAAATTTACTTCCGGGAGAGAAAAATATGCTAAGCAAAAGATAGAAATCAACATTCTCAAATGTCTATCCACTCGATAGTTAAATGATAACAAATAGGCAATTCTTACCTAGAAGACCAAGATAGTATATGTTATAGCAAAATTTTACTAAAATCTACCGTTTTTGAAAAGTAATAAAGGAGGAGTGTTTAATTATGCTAATCCTGTAGGGCACATCAAGGATGCTAATTGTTTGTTCTCGTTGGATGGCAATGAAATTAATCAATTCCTCATGATGCCTCTAAGAGAGCTTCCTTGCATTTATGGGATTTTTTTGGGGGGGGGGGGGGGAGGAAAAGAATATGAAAAAGAAACTTAATGTGTTCATGAATAATTAAACCTCGATTATAAACTATAAACATCCGAAGAAATCACAATTTATTTAACATGAAGGTATTTTGGAAGAACTTAGATAAAACTGGTATGACGATGTAAAATTGCTTAGAACGTATTACGCTAACTCATACTGTCGTATGGGTTCCTCTCAGTTGCTACAATTTTTATGTATACTCAAAGAGTCTTTATTGGTCTAGACTTGTGAAAAGTGACATCTAAATATCGCTTCCAGATTAGAACACCTTTAAGGTAATGACAAATAAAGCTTGCTCATGAAGTCACTATCAGGATTCGTTGCAAGAAACCGTATGTTCTTTAAGGCTTATTATGGATCATGACGTCATGGTATTTTAACTATACTATGGAATAACTGAAGGCGTAGAAAATTATAAGAACAGAGGATTCCTAGACATATTTCTCGAACACATGAAGCCCTTATCAAAATTACATTTTTTCGGAGGTTGTGTGAAAAATTTACAATGATTGAAAATGTCAATCTTTGATAAAGTATTCATGAAGAATAGTGATTCAATAACGAAATCTAACAAAAAGTATGACATTTCAGGGTTTATGGATATATAAAAATTTTTGCTTTACTTGGTAGTTTATTCAAAAGGCATTCTTCTTATTATTCTGAAAATACGGAAATTTAACGCTACCCATTTTACATCTCAGCCTTTGACCTAAAAACTCATGCATAAAAAGCATAATATATCTAGAACATTAGATATTAAAATAACACATGATAAATGGAGAAGAGGTTAATAATTTTTTGATGTTTCTTAAAACACGCACACTAATCACGTGAGCGTTTATCTGAATCAATTTTCGGACTAGCACCTACCTTTACATTGGCAATGGTGAGTTGGCGTATGCCTCTGTGGCATCAGTGTTCATGAAATTTTTTTGCTATCACTTGAGAGGTTCTAATTGTTATGTTTCCAGAGAGTTTATCTAAAATATATTAATTTTAATTAGGCTAACGGTGGCAGTAAATCTCCAGCTGGTTCTGGTGCCGGTACAAGAGGAGCGACCGGTGGAGCACGTCAAAGAAGGGTATTCACTCGTTTATAAACTTTTGAAAACTATCCTTATTACTGATTTAAAGATGCCTTTTTATATAGTCAACCGCTACCGTTTCGAAACGTCCTCTTACATCGACCGCTCCAAAAAGTCCCGTGTTTCTTTTTTACTCTGAAGACTCACCCGGCATTAAGATTGGTCCAGTTCCGGTTTTGATTATGTGTCTCTGTTTCATTGGAGCCGTATTTTTGCTTCACTTCTGGGGCAAGTATACCCGAAGTGCTTAATATAAACACCTAAAGAAGCATATTTGAAGTGATATACTTGTATCCTTTCCTAATGTATGCTTTTTTTCTATTTTGAACTATCTATTTGCGGAATATAGAAAAATTTTGGTTGAATTTCTATGCAATGACTAGTATTACCTAAAATATAGGCCCTCTTTTGTAACTCGTGGTTCTTATTAGTTTGGAGAATTGTTTAGCTCCAGCTTTCCGTGGATACACGTTTACTTTATCGGACGTCATGGGTGGCGCGCAGTTTTATTTTAGCCCATTCTTAACCGTGTCTACCCAAAAATCTAGTTTCTTTTTAATTTCTCTTTTACGCACAAATATCTGTTAAATCTAGCAACTTTTGGGAAGTAGGAATCCCACTCTAGCTTCAATATGTTCATACCTGTGCTCCCCCTGGAAGTACTAGTGGAAATCATATTAGATTACTTATATATTAAAGAACTCGCAAATCATTAAAATCCACTAGGTCTATCGGGAGCAAATTGGAAGTGCGTACTGGGATAATTGATCCGCCGTTTTTCATGACTAATGGCCTTTCCGAGTATATTACACGTTTTTATTTGCTTAGGTATTCATTTTGCCGAAGAATATTGTCCACTATTACCTTAAACAAATAATTATATAGTGCCATTGGTAGGCTTTTAGTTTCTCAAGTGCATGAGCCGGAGGATGGTCTGTGTAGAATTTCAGACGTGCTGTTTTCATCTGAAAGCGCAGATTTACTGATGTTTATAATAATAGGAGCAGAAACGTATGGAGTGATCTTCACACAACAAGCTTAAGATGAGCGAGATATGAGTATATGTCCAATCGAAAATAAGCAGTGAAGTCGAATTCCAAATTGACCAGCACCAAATGGAGTACCGAGCGCACATCAAAACTAGGCTTTATTTGGTTAAAATATAACAAGATAATATATACAAGTAAAAATGGGACTATGAAGACATTTTGCTATCAGCCTTCTTACGAAGTTTGTAGTATTTGACGAACTGATGTCGCAGGATAAGGAGGAAGCTGCGGGTATTGTCAGATTTGTTATAATGTTCCACCAGTTTTTCAATATCCTTAATAGGAGGATTGCATTTCACAAGTTGGGCCTTGCAGTTAGACGCCTCCGATTTGAGTCGAAGCACCACATAACTGGAGAGAGTATGGTCGTCTTCACAACAATTAGAAAAAATTATTTGGATATTTTGATGACCCTTGGTTCGCACTATCCTCAATCCAAACGTATCCTGGTACATGGCAACGCGTCCACTTAAACGACTGACTTCAGCATCGACTGCCTTGGTGGAGTTAACCACATCTTCATTAACACAAGGCATATTCTCTAGACGTTCATTCAGGAATTTCTAAGTTGTTAAAAAGAAAAACAAGATAAATAACTTACTATTTTGGCACACAGTTTTTGAAGCTCATCTTCCTGCGTTCTCACTTCATTGAGCAGCTTTTGATGTCGAGACTTAAGGCGATCGATAGCATGCCTGTTTTCACGGAGAATTTTTCGCAGATTGGATACTTTATGAGCTAATTCACGATTCCAATCTGTTGCGTTATTTTGTTGATGCTCTAAAGCTATGCATCGCTGAAAACGGCGTAAAACAATATCGGGGCTGTCTAAAACTGGGTTCTGGAATGTTGTTGTATCTTCAAACATTATCTATAACAAAAGGCATTGAGCAACTTTCATGAAACTACTACATAAGCAAGCATAAATACCAAAGGGATTAAAGAACAACCAAACCCTCAAGTGAAACTGCATCTCACAAATAAGAAAATGCTAAAGACAAAAGTGTGTCGACGAAGTGATAATTCAATGAATTTATTAATTAATTTGCTCGTAAGCACCAACCAACCTGACGAACATAAATATTTAATTGGGTAACTTGTATTCCCCTCCTTTTTTGTGGACCAGGTTTATTGATACTTCGAAGTCATCAATTTTGGTTCATTAAAACAATTGATGTATTTTTGCCATAATTTAGTCATATTCAATAATCTAAATATTAACACTACAAGGATTCATTAAAACGTAAAACATTAATGTAAAACAGACAATCGTTTACATTTTTACCTATTTGACGAAGATTTGAATATTTTATGACTCTTTTTTATCATCTTAAATAACAGTAAGTCTCCTTTCTACCTCCAGAATTTGATATGTTAAATTACCTTTAAAAACAGGCTCTACTTCTTCGCTGAAGTCAAAATAGCATGCAATTATGTCTATTTTTCATGCTAAATAGCGGGATAATTTCGTTTAACAAATCTAAGGCTCATTTCGATTTCGATTAATATCCATATGGTTTTCTCTGGAATCGACTTGCACTTAAAACATTATGATCTGGATTGTCTATCCCCTTAGATTCTTGCACCTTCCTTTCATCAGTTAATATATTTATTTAACTGGTAGCTTTGCTACGATAAAACGTTAGCTTATAAAAACGATAAATAGGTGGAATGGTAAATATCACCCAAATTCGAAGATTAATTCAGCTTAGTGAGAACCTTGATTTATATGGCAAATAATTTTGCGAACTTGCTGAGTCAAGATTTGCCCATACGATCTATCTTTATGAATTTATTTCACACACTAAATTTGTTAACTAATTAATAATATTACTTATTATTGAAGGTGTGGTTTGGACAGTAGACTGATACTTGAACAAACATTTTGTCTGCCAGCATCGAAATGTGGAATATAATGATTGAAATTTCTTTCGTCGGCCAGTAGGTTGGTATTGAATTTCACTCTCTCTCTCTCTCTATCACCTAACAAGCATCATTGTAGATATCTATTTGGATATTTTCATTTACTGAAATTATGAGTCCTCAACTAGTGTTAAGTGAGCTGCCCAGCCACTTTTAGATACTGTCGAAAAGGAATAAGGTAGAGCTTTTTTACTTAGCATCATCGTTTAATAATACGCAGCATAATATCGTTCACATTTTATAGTTTGTCGAACAATTACTACTTCAATTATGTTTGACGGTCAAATATTTGACAAGCCACAACATTTTGGTATAGCACATGACTTCCCATGACTGACACAAGGATTCCATTTTCCTAATATAGAAACGGATTAAACAAAGTGACCATTGATGCGGCTTATGTATTTACTATTTAATGAATACTTATCACACACAACTGGCATGATTAAAGTGATTAAACAAATCAGTGACTAATGCATTTCCAATCCCTCCCTTCCATTTTAACCAAATAAGCTTACTCAATGACACTATTAACTTCCATAAATGTTCTTCTGCAACACATACTTACACGTATGATTCTTTATAATATTAGAAAACAGACGTTAATGCATTATCATGGAGGAATAAATGCTTCTGCATAATTTATCGAAAATGAGGAAAACATTAGGTTTATCCTAATTTCTACAAAGTGATCTGTCAAATTCAATATTGTGAGTTAAAGGACTATTGGCACAAAAGCAGTGCTTTGATCGGCCATATGGGGGTAATAAAATATGCAAGGCATAAATATGCCTTTTCCCCATTTCAAGAGGTTGACAATAAACAAAGATCAGGCTTATATTGAAGTGGAATCAATTTCATGAACAAGTTTTAGAGGGCCGTTCTTCTCCCAAAAGACCATGAGATAACTTCCACAAAAACATCTATCAACTGAGGCTATTCATAATAGTGATCTAGATAAAGTAACGTGAAGAAGTTTAATTGATAATGGAAATGAAGCTGTCTATGAAATCCACGATTGCTAGAAGGACACTGAGTTGTTCACCCACAATATGTCCCTCCTGCTCGTGAGATCGTCTACGACTGTATTATAGAAAAGGTTTGGGAATTGCGTAATAAAACCGCGAGAGCTCTTGAGTGAACACGTCTTATGCCGGTTGCATGGAGTATAACCGTTTACACAAGCAAAGGAGATAAATTTAACGACACAGGAGGACAATCATACTCAGTTCATGTCCCAATAGGAATTTCTCATTGAGTTAGATAATGAGCCCCAGAATACCATAATTAGAACAGTCGGTCAGGTTTTGATCAGATCACATGAATTTTAGTTAACCTTGAGGAGAATAAAAATGTTATTTACGTTTACTTATGTATTTATGTATGCACTCTTGCGTGTCACAATCATTAAGGCAAAGAAACCTTTGTTCTAAATCCATCAATAACGGCCGCCCTTCTACCGTTCATACACGCATACACATAAAATGATTGTGCCTATTAGATGGAAAACAGGTCCATCTAAAATCGCTTTTCCGCGAGAACTCCACGGTGTGCACTTTGCACATTTTTCCAAAGGCGGAATTTCGAAGAGTCCTGGAGAAGATTCTGCGACACATGACTGATATATTTAACGCCAATTAAAAGTTTCTTTGGCAGTATGGTAGTACACGTGACTGATTGCATGCGTTAAAATTAATTTATTGAATAAAATGGCAGTTTAAAAAAGAGTTTTCAAAGAATTGGAGGTTTTATTTCCGAAATATAGGTTTAAATAACTAGATAAAACTTCAATTGAAATGGAGGACTATAAAGCGAAGCTTTCCATTGAGCAGGTGTTTTGATAGTTATCATCAGCCCTTTAGCTGACTTCAGACTTCACAGAGAGAAGGAGGAACATCAAAGTGACAAAGAGGGGGGGGGACAGAATAATGATTCACAGATGTAACAGAGACAGACAGACAAAAAGGCAGAGAAAAGGTAAGATGAGTACTGTGAAAGAGGTCGAATATGACATACAGTGGGGTGATGGTAGTTTGAATTCAGAAGTCAACTCCAGGTTGATAGACTTTTTTGCCGTATGAGTATACGTTTCCCAGGGTGCACCACTTGGAGGTAAGTCTATCGCACACCCCAAGAGCTCGAATTATGATTGGTGCCTTTACGTCATTTGAACTTGAAGAGTGAGTAATTTACTTCCATCATTCGCGCTCACTGTTAACTTTTTTTTCAAAAATCATTACAAATTAGGTTGACAGCGGAATCTAGAGTAGATATCAACTAGACCTAATTTTTCCTTCCTGCCAAGGAAGCCATAAATGAACAGAAAATAACATGACAGCTAAGATTCGATTGCCGAAAGGATCTTTCGCTTATATTATAAACTTACTAATTTATTTTAATTCAGCGAGTTAAAAATTGCAAAAATCTTTATTATAATGGCAACCATAACCAATACTGGAAAGTGAATAGTTGGCAGACCACGAATGCTTGATACAGTGGCCTAGTTTCGACTTCCGCAACAAAAAAACAACGTGATGTTGGAATGACGTCAGCACAAAAAAAGTCGAAGTACAGTTAGAAAGTTCAGAATGGCAATTGCAAATGTGAATTGTCCATATTTACCTTTGAAAGGAGAGTTAACCTTCTTCATAGGTTCACTTCTATTTGGTTGAAAAATAACTGATGACCGCATCAAAAGACTTCGTCCCTATAAACTGCCTGTCAGTGATTTGTTCCTTATTTTGAATGCTAACAAATTTCAAGATTTCCAAAATAAAAATTTCTATTTAGACAAAATGCATGATATACATATGGAGAGTTAAAACAACTTTCCATGAAAAAATAGCGAACGTTTGTGTAATCAAGAACTTACTAAGTTGTTTGGGATACTACCAGGATCAAAAATCGACTGTTTGGACCCTTCATTAAGAAAGACCACTTCGACCAGAGGTTCAGGGGGGGGGGATTAAGAAATTTGAAAGTAGCCTTAACTTTAAACTTAACAGAAGCCAAATTAAGCCAGACCCCACATCTGTTCTTCTCATTCCATCGTTTAAAGACCTATTGGTTATTAAAGTATTTGACTTAGAAATAGAGAGTTTCCACTCAATCATCCCGAAGATCTATTAAGAACAGTACTAAGCAATTTATCACGAAAGCATTTTACTGTTTATAAATCGCCTTTTCCATATTTAATGTCTATGCCCAATGATTACCAAATACCTCTCCACAAAAGCACTTGTCTGCTCTTGACATCATTTATTTGCCAGCCAACTTAATCCCTAATGAGGCAAATTAATTTCACTAAACTTTCTGTAAATATGAGAGCATAACTTAGTCCCGCCATCCCGATTGAAAGAAACAATAATAGTGTTGGCTAGTATGCAATAATAAATAGCTGAAGACAGACATTAAGTGATGATCGCTGTTAGAAAGTACTAGAGATATTGAAATGCATTATATATATTTTATTATATACGAATTTTGGTGGCAGTGGCTCCATTATCTCTGTTAAATGGCTTTGGTATAAAAAAAGCATTGAAGTATTTATGAACGCAAAAGCTTCGAGTTGAACTGGCACAACGCTGCGGTAAAGCGAAATCAACAAATTCCTGTCACTAAGACCCCATGAAAATGTGAAATTTCTCAATATTACTAAACTAGAAATGCCTGATTTTAATCCATAAAAATGTATTTACCAATTATGATTTCAATTAAGGGGAGTGCGATAGACTTACCTCCACGTGGTGCACCCTGGGAAACTTTCAACCCTTGCTGGTTTTCTAAACAATTATTCTTAAGAATACGATAGACTTACCTCCACGTGGTGCACCCTGGACAACGTACTTTCAAATGGCAGGCGTTATGATAGGTATCATGGGGAGTGCGATAGACTTACCTCCACGTGGTGCACCCTGGGAAACGTATATTCATACGGCAAAAAAG